TGCTGGGATTACAGATGTGTGCCATCACGCCCAGCTTGTTTGTCTTTTTTGAGACAGGGTTTCACTGTGCAATTCAGGCTGGGCTTGAACTCACTCTGTAGCCCAAGCTGGCTCCTGCCTCAGTCTCCTGAACTCTGGCATTACAGCCAAGTATCGCCATATCCAGCTGTGATCAGGTTCTGGTGAGTCTTCTTAGCTTACAGAAAACTGTCTTCTTGCTGTGTCCTCTCATTCTCGCTGTTCTTATCAGGCGTTGGATTAGGGTTTCACCTTTATGACCTCTTTTAACCTTAATTGCCTTCTAAAGACCCTGTCTCCAGGTACAGTCACACTGGGGTTTAGGACTTCAACATACGGTTTGGGCGGGGTCCAGGTCGGTACAGACCTCTTAGTAGAGGGCCAGGGTGGGATTGATGAGAATTCTCAGACATTTTTGCCGTCATCTGTAGTTTTCCATTCTGCTCGTGCATGTGTAGGCAGGCCTAATTCCGTTCCAGTGCTAGGTGGCTAGCCTTAACAGTTGCCAGCCTTCTTTGACCTTCAGTTTTGAACTTTACAGTACAGTGAGCTTGTCCCTTTTCTGAAGTAGTTGATAGTATTTTGGAGAGTACTTGGTTTGTTTGATTTAGTGTTTTGGGTTCATTTTGTTACTATTGTAAAGAAATAAGGCATGAATTTCAAACTATTATCGTAGCTTGAAAGTCTAATTGAGTATGTTTCTTTAAAAGTAGTCAAGTTACAGCTATAGCCATCAAAATAACAACTAAGCAGGTCAAAGAGTTACATGTAAAAAATGATTCCATAGAGCTTGCTTCAGCAGCACATACACTAAAAATGATTCTATAAACATTAGATGAAAACATTGATGACAGACTTGTTTCACCTGTAATAAGCATAGAAACACATTAAAAGAATAATAAAACACTTTCTAAAGTTAACAAGGTATTTTTCTTAGTGATATTGCAACAGTACTAATGAAGTAAGCACACATTGCTAGTGGGGTTATAAATGGTATCTTTTTATCAGAAATAATCTAACAATGTAAGTATATGCATAACCCTTAAGAATATTCATCCCAGGTATATTGTTCCTGTATTACGGATTCAGGAAATTCTAATGAGCACTTTGGCGAGGAAGAATAACATAAGTAATACATGTCAGGATTTTAATGGTTTCTTTACCTATTACTCACCCTACAGTCTTGTACTTAGGCTTTGCCTTACTTGTGTCATGTTAAGTTTTAATTTTAAAAATAAAAGAATGAAAACATATTAACAAACACACATACATTTACAAACTAACACAAAAACAATACAAGAAGTACTGAATTTCAGACAAGGTGATAGGAAATTAACAATGGTTGTTTTATTATATATTGATATCTTCAAATTGGTTACTCAGGTAAACAATATAGACATGTAAGATTGATCAAACAATTAAACATTAACTGTTCCTTTCAATAAAGCAATAGAAGTCAGTAGTACAACTATGTTAGCTATCCTGTATATACATATATACATAATTTTCCCCTTCTTTCTTTTCTCTTTTCCCTCATCCCAGTTGTTCTTTAGTTTTGAGCAGTTTCCTTTCATTTCACAATATCTATCATACCTCCTAATTTTTATTCACTCTTTCAGGTTCTTACACTAGTGAGACAGTACGATGTTTACACATGTGGGTCTGATTTATTTCACTTGTGAGTATAGTGTGTAGTTGTGTCCATTTACCTATAAAAGCCTCGTTTATCTTTCTTTATAGCTGGGTAATATTCTATTAAATAAAAATACCACAACTTTTTACTCATTCCTCCTCAATGGATGGACATTTGGGTTGCTTCCATGATTTAGCTATTACAAATTGTGCTGCTATAAACATGTGTGTACATATATCACTGTAATATGTTTTCAGTTCTTCTGGGAAAATACCCCAAAGAAGAAAAGCTGGGTTGAATGGGACCTCTAGTCCTAGTTTACTGAGGAATCTCCAAACTGATTTCCACAGTGTTTTTACCATTCTACACTCCCACCAGCAGTGTAGAAGGGTTCCTTTTTCTCTGCAGCCTTGCCAATATTTGTTATTGGTTGATTTCTTAATGCTAGCCATTCTTACTGGGGTGAGATGGAATGAATCTTAAGTGTTGTTTTAATTTGCATTTCTCGAATGACGAATGATGTTGAACATTTTCTCTTGTATTTATTTGCCATTTGTATTTCTTTATCTGAGAAGTATGTACTCACCTCAGATGCCCGTTTTTAAACTGGGTCTCTGAATTTGCAGGGGGGGGACTGATGTTTTTTAATTCTTTATATGTTCTAGATAGAAGTCTTTTGTCCAAGAGACAGTCAGCTAAAATTTTTTCCCAATTTGTGGGTTTTCTTTTTACTGTGCTAGTGATTTCAAAAAATTTAAAAATTAGCGTGTTTTTCCTAAAACTTAGTTCAAATTATCAAAGATAATCTTTAAAGAGCAAGTGAAAGACATTTTTTAAGTTCATCTGTTAATTAATTCCTGAATAACTTTTCACATATGTAGTCATATACCAAGCAGCTAGCTGGCCTTCTGCGAATTCAGCCCAGGTTATAAGGGCTTGACCTACTTGTTTACACGTTAGTTGTAATCAAAGGTGCTGCCCCTGAATAATGCCGGTGTTGTGCACTCCTTGCACGTAACATTTACCCAGCTGTATTCTCAAGAGGTTTTTAGTTTTGGGAACAGGTAAGTTTGACTTCTTATTTACTCACTGCTGGCCATTCCAGTAATTTTTATGAAATAAGAGTAGAAAAAATTGGGAAACTGGAGAAGAAACAACAAGAGAAATTACTTTTTGGGGGTGGGGGTGGATACAGGGAATTGAACTCAGGACCTCCTGTTTGGCAGGCAGGCAGGCACTGCACTGCTGAACTGTATCCCCGGCCCCAAGAGAAATCCCTTTTGAATGTAGCAGGTAATAATAAATAAGCTTTTTCTTTTCTTTTACTCCTGTATTCAATAGGGTATGATCAGAAAATCCAGTGAATGTTTAAATTTTTAAAAATCAAAACAGTAAAAAATAGATTGCCAGTAATCCTGCTCAAAATACTCCTCCTTGCTTAAAACAAACTTACCCTGTCATTCTTGCCATTTTCTGAAGCAGTTCTTTAAGTCTTTTATGAGTGTCTGTAGGATGTCACAAATCTGGGGAATGCAGCTGTCAGGTACCATCCATTGGAAAGGCAATCTTATCAAAAATACTTGATGGTATGTCTTCATTCATCTTACTCATTTGATCTGGTACCCTGTGACTTCTGGGTCTTCTCCAAAGTCAGAATGACCACTAAAAGGTGAACATTTTGAATTGATTCAGGACATTGTCTTAGTTACTTTTCTCTTAGTGCTGGGACACACCCAAGCTTAAGGTTTATTTAGCTCACAGTTTGAGAAAGTTTCAGTCCATACTTGGCTGGCTCCAAGGCAGAGTGGCACATGGCACAGGGCAACTGTTCGTGGCAGCAGAAAACAGCAAAAGCAACAAAAGCAAAAAGGGAGGAGCGAGCTAGAAGACTCTTTCTGTGAGTTAATTGTATGTAGGCTAGCCACGCTGGGGTGGGTGTAGCAGTCACACCCACAATCTCAGCATTGGACCATGGATCCTTTACAGACTCCAGATCCAGCAGCCCCCATGGCTGCATGAGGCTTTGAGGGGACATGTAGACACAAACCATAACAGACATCAAGGCAGTTATGACAGAGCAAGTAAAGACACAATAGAGAAATTTCAGAATTACTTCAGAAAGAAGCAAGAACAATGGGATAAGTGTTCAAAGCAAGGGGGAGTATTTTGAGATTAATGGCAGTGTGGTTTTTTTTTACTATAACCTTTAAAATGTAAGTATTCACTGAATTTTTCAGTCAAACCTTGTAAGTGGTGTAGTGTTCTAGTATTTACCAAACAAGGATAATTTCATTCAGAATTGTTTTCTTTCTATATATGCTTCATGATAAGTGTGTGTGTTATGATAATGTTGAAAATCCTGCAAAATTCTTCTGTACTTACGTCCACATAGTGCTTTGAAAATAGTATTTGAGGTGTTTCATTTCTCAGAAATGTATTGCTCTAACGATACTGATTTATTTTTGATAGTGTGTAAAATAGTTTTTCTTCGCTTATTTATAAATTCTTACTACATCTTATATTTTCACTTAAAATTAACAGATGAATTGTGTTTTATGCAGGAATATAAATACCTTTTCTAAAATTGTCAACTTGAGTGTGTTCAAATCTCATTGCTTTCCTGTAAAGATAGTCTTTAAATATATGGGTAAGATATCTGAAGCATGTGGAAGACATGTAAAGCTTTTAATACATGTAGGTAAAGTATATGTTTAATAACGCATGAGAAATCTTTGGTTTTATTACATAAGATTTTGGTCACTATTTACTGAGTTTTTCAGGCATTGACTGACTGTGTCTGCATGTGTGTGTGTATTGTGGTAGTGGGGCTCAAACCAAGGGCCTTATGAACTACATCCCCAGGCCTTTTTAGTTTTTGTTTTGAGGCATGTCTTAAAGTTGCTAAATTAGCCTGATGTGATGCTTGTGATCCCAGCACTCAGGAGGCCAAAGTAAGAGAATTGCTGCAAGTTTGAGGCCAGCATGGGCTACATAGTGCGTTCAAGACCAACCTAAACTGCATAGCAAGACCCTGTCTCAAAAAAAAGTTATTTAATTGCTTAAGTTGGACTCAGATTTGGCATCCTTCTGCATCATTTGGAGAATACGGGGACTGCAGGCATGCACCGCTACACTCAGCTTATACATTGACTTAAAGTGTCATATAAAGCTAGATAGTTTGAAGCTTATTAAAAAGTCACAGTTTTATTTTTCATACTTAGTTATGAATATAATGGGAAAATATTTTGATTAAAAACTTCATTTTTTTAATAGGTGTTTTGTGGTTTTATGGATTATAAATTTGTAACTCATGTACCATTGCTTCCTTAGATTCCTTAACTTTAAGCACATCTCAATTTTTTATTTATTCATCTTCCATTCCTTGCCAATAGTGTTGCACTTTTCTACAATTTTGGGAAATCTTGGAAGTCAGATCCAGGGATTATTAAAGCTACAGAAGAACAAAAGAAAAAGGTAGCAAAATAGTTTACATATTTGGCTACCAAAGTAGTAGTATGTATAACAAGCTATAACAAGTATTTATAACAAGATACAGAGGAAAAAACTGTCTTTCTATGGGGGCGGGGTGGTTTCCCAGTACCGGGAATCGAACTCACTACCTTGTGCTTGCCAGGCAGGCGCTGTGCCGCTGAGCTAAATCCCCAGCCCCGAATCCGTCTTTTAAACACAAAGTTTTATACTAAATTGAGAGTATGTGTATTTTATTTCGTGCTCATCCTTGTTGCTTTTGAACACTTACCTTTACATTCCCATAACATTTTATAATTGTGTTTTTTCTCCTTTACAAGACTACTGTGATTGCTTTGAGAGCCCATTGCAATATTTTAAGTATCTCTGTAAACTCCCAGGAAATAAATACATTCAGCAAATGTTTACCAAATGATTTTCTAAACTGGAAGCCAGTAAATGGGTAATACAGATAGAACATTCCAGTATAAAATATTTGTGTAAGTGATTCAGGGCATCTTTTTACTGTAACCCAGGTACTTGAAACCACATTCATAAAAGACATTGTGTAAGTAGAGAATTGGATTAGAGGCATTTTGGATAAGTTTAAGACCTGTTTTATTTAGTTTCTAAAAACAAAACATTTTGTTAAGTTATTCCTGTCTACATTATATGAAGACAGTGTCAGATTCTGATGGTTTAGACTGCATAGAAATTGCTATTCTGGTGTTCTTTAGTACTATTCATACTATAACAAATAGAAGTAACTGAGCAAAAGATTTCATTCCTTACTTTGAGCTAAAAACATTGGAAAGTTAAAGATGAGCACCATGTGTACTGATTCATAGTAATGACAAGTGTTGGTGAATACCATTCAGTTTTAAATTTTTTTTTTTTTTTAATTCACAGACAATAGTTGAACTTGCAGAAACGGGAAGTCTGGACCTCAGTATATTCTGCAGTACCTGTTTGGTAGTATATGCTTTGTTCTTCCCTCCCTCCCTCTTATTTTTGACAGTAACATAGCATACACTGTGGGATGAGGAGAATTTCATTTGCTGAAGAGCATGTATTTCTTAAAATTAAACAATATTTAAAATTAAATGCTTACTGTGAGGCTGTATTTTTTTTTTTTTTTTTGAGGGGGCCATTCTTTTTTGAGAGAGGTCTCTCCATGCAGTTCAGGCTGGCCTTGAGTTCATTTGGGAGCCAAGCTGGTCTCAGACTTGGTATGATCCTCTTGCCTCAGCCTCCTGAGTGCTGTGATTACAGGCTTATGCCACCAAGTCCAGCCAGCTTAGTTTTTGAACTACATTTTAAGAAAATTCTTTCTTGAATTTTTAAAAAACCACAGTGGGAAAATTCATTAGATAATTTCTCAGACAACATGGCCTTCCAGCGAGTTCAGTTTGAATATTGTTTGTGTAGAAGTATTTGTACAACTTTGAACACTGTTTTATTGATTTTTTTAAAGTGATCATCATTGGCTAAGTCATGCATAATCAAAGATGTATAAGAATTTGAATGCTCTTTGTTTATGGAGTCAAATACAGCATAGTAATAGTGGTATTGATTGATTTATTGTAGACGTCAGTTTTCTATAGAATCATACTTTTATATTGTGGTTATTTTGCTTTTTATAAGTAATCGTGAAAAAATATATAGACTGCTCCCATGGTTAAAATTTCTACATGGAAATATTCTCAGTTGAAATATTTTCAAATTATACGTGGGATCAGATGTTCTTTTATATCTTTGAGTTATATGTAAGTTAACATTGTTTGATTAATAAGGAAATAGTTGATTCAGTTTAGGATTACACAGTGATTGGGGGCCAGTGCTAGGGACTGAAGCCCAGGCCTGGTAGAGCCTAGGCATGTGCTTTCTTACTGAATTGCATTCCCAGTCCTTTGTTTACCTCTCTTAATTTTGAGACAAAGTCTCACTGAATTGCTGAGTTGAGCCACAAACTTAAAGTCCTCCTGCCTCAGCCTCCTCCTAAACAACTGGGGTTGCAGGTATGTGCTGCCATACCTAGCTCTCTACAAATTCTTCGTTGTTTCACTTAACGATTTTTGAGCAGTTATTATTTTGAATATTTAAAATATATACTGCTTTACTTTTGCCAGCAACTTTAGGGTACTGACTAAATTTTTTTGTATAGTCAGTCACTCTTGACTGATACTCTTACATTAAAAATATTTTGATACACTCCTGTTCTGTGTAATACTGCGAAATACTGTGTTCCTCAAAATTAACGATGCATTGTGGATGTGCTTACCGTATGGCAAGTTATATAGGCACTCAGTGGAGATAGCAGTTAAGGAACTTTGAGACCAAGTTGCCCCATACCTGGTGAGTCTATTGTTCAGATTTTTGACTGGCGTTGCCCAAAGGAGAACTGTAGCTAAGGGTTAGAAGTGGGTGTAGTTGTTGTTTGATATATCTTCCTGCTTTCTCTTAAGTACATTGAGTCTCACATCTGTGATGAAGAGCAGCTTCTTTTCTTTGGCCCACAGAGAATTTTAGTAGCTCTAGGAACTGTACACTTCACCTGTACCTTTTCCTGGGTACCTCAAAACAATATTGGCAGTGTTTTTATTGAAACACCAATATAAACAGTGCTGGCTATTATAATTTTATTTCTCATGAGGTTATTACTAACTTCCAACATTAGAGTTGCCAGCCATTTGAAGATCACCAGTGAATTTTTATATTCCTTGGTTAATTTAGCATTAAGGTAAAAAATATTTCAAGCCGCTTAAAACAGAGACCATAACAATGAGTTCTTTATTGCCAGTCATGAGCTGAATAATGGATTATTTTTTTGCAAGAGAAAGTGACATCAACTCTGCAAGCATATTCTTCCTTCTTAGATATATGCTCATAAATTCCAGCAGAGGAAATGCTAAATCTTCATCTGAGATTTCAGTGAGCATTTAAAAAGAAATAGATGTGTATACTTACTGTTTTTTTGCTGGGTTTATTAATTTAAGAAGGCACCTCTATTATTTTGAATTGTAGAAGGTTGTTTTATTCCAGTTCTAAGCTGGCCTTCCTTTTACTCAGTGACAGTATTACTTATTAAAGGGTAACCAGTATTATAACCATTAGTTAAATAAGTCTTAATTTTGAACCCTGGAGAGTAATACATTTCTATTGACAAATTTGAGAGATTCAAGTTAAATATAGTATCATTCATCACAACATCCAATTGGTTTTTAATTTGTAGTTGTTACTCTTGTTAATTGGTGGTTCTGTCCCATTTTTAAGCATTTATGTTCTGGAGTAGTCTTATTCTTTTAGTTCTTGTTACTATAGTTGAAATTTCATTAAAAGAGAACAGCTGTAATTCTGGTTTGTTTTTATTGGTTGGAAACATTGTTGTACTCTTGTTCAAAAAGTACAGTTTGTGTTTTCATATTTGTATATTGAGAAAATAAATGTCCAGCTTTTCTTTCTTGTGTACAATGTTTTTCATAATCTTTTAATGTGCCTATTTAACAGATACGGAAACCAGTGAGGTCCAAACACTGTGGTGTGTGCAACCGCTGTATAGCAAAATTTGATCATCATTGCCCATGGGTGGGTAACTGTGTAGGTGAGTTACATTAGTAATTCAAAATATTGCTCATTGACTTACTTAGATAACTAATGAAAGTGTCATTATTAAAATAGATAGTAGAAATTCATTTTTGTACCCTCAATCTCCATCCCCCAACCCTCTAGTTGGTATACAGCAACTCAATTGAGAAAGAGGGAAAAAGTTACAAAATCATTGTTTAGAGAGAATTGATGCAAAAAGATACTACCAAAAATGAAGAAACATTGTTGTACTCTTGTTCAAAAAGTACAGTTTTGTGTTTTCATATTTGTAGATTCAGAAAATAAACTGTTTATATTGGTGTTTCTCTGATACCTTATCTTTCCTATTTTCCATTGGTAAGATTAAAATTAATAAGGAAGCAAATAATGTTTTAAAATTAAATTATAGAAAGCAATAATAATAGTTTTAAAATTTTTCATTACTACATGTTTGCAGTAAAATGGTTCCATTCATTGTGAGGAGTTGGTACATGCACACAGCACATCTCAATTCTCTTGATTTCCCTTCCCTTCCTTTCTTTTTTTTTTTTTTGTTTTTTTGTTTTTCCGGTACCGGGAATCAAACTCACAACCTTGCGCTTGCCAGGCAGGCGCTGTGCCGCTGAGCTAAATCCCCAGCCCCTCCCTTCCTTTCTTGTAGCATTTGTCTTTCTCCCTACTGTCCTTCCCTCCATTTCTTTTTTTTCCTATTATCTTTTATATTGGTTTTTATTTATAGTTTTGGTTTCTCATGTAAGAGAAGTTGGAAATATTTCTGTCCCTTTTTGTTCCATTGGTCCACATGTTTTTGTTTTTGTTTGCCAGTACTATGCTATTTTTATCACGGTAGCTTTGTTGGCTGATATAAGAATTATGCTGAGTAGTGGTGATAGCAGACATTGTCTTGGTCCTGATTTTCGAGGGAAGGCTTTCAGAATCTTGCCATTTAATGTTGCCTGTTTTGGCATAAATGGATTTTACTGAATTAAGCTAAGGTCCTTCTGTATCTAATTTCTTTAAGATTTTTATCATGAATGGATGTTGGATTTTGTATTACATTGGATTTTGTCAAATGCTTTTTCTGATGATCATGTGATTTTTGTCCTATTTATGTAGTATACTGCATTTATTGATTTGCATATGTTGAGCCATCTGTTCCTGGAATAAATCCTACTTGGTCATGATATATAAGCTTTTTGATGATTTGCTGCTTCCTGTTTGGTAGTATCTTGTTGGGGACTTCTGTGTCATTGTTCATTAAACAGATTGGCCTACAGTTCTCTTTTTAGTTGGGTCTTTTTCTGGTTTTAGACCCTGGCTAATGGTAGCTTCCAGGAGTGACTTTGGGAATACCCCTTCTCTTTTAATTTCATTAAAAAGTTTGAGGAGTATTGGCATTAGATCTTCCCAAAAGTTACTGTAGAGTTCAGGATCATGACCTGAGCTTTTCTTGGTTGATAGATTTTTTTATTACCTCTTCAATCTTATTTTGGATTATTCAGGGTTTTTGTCTTTTTGGTTCAGGTTTGGTAGTTCATACTCATCTGGGAATCTTTACATTTCTTTTAAATTCTTTGAGAATCTCAAAGATTCTCAAAGTAGTTACTAATAGTCTTCATTTTGGTAGAGTCTGTTTTTGTTTCACTTTTTTTTCATTTCTAATTGCATTGATTTGGGTCTTGTCTCTTCTTTTTCTGTTTTTATTCTTTCAAAGAACTAGCTCTTTGAGCCAGTTGTGGTGGTGCACGCCTGTAATCCCGGCATTTGGGAGGCTGAGGCAGGAGGATCTCTGTGAGTTTGAGGCCAGCCTGGGCTACAAAGTGAACTCAAGGCCAGGCTCAACTGCATAGCGAGACCCTGTCTCAAAAAGAAAAAAAAAAAAGCTCTTTGATTTATTGATTCTTTGTATTTTTTTTTTTTAGTGTCAACTTCATTCATTTCTGCTCAGATCTTCGTAATTTGCTTCCTTGCACTAGTTTTGGATTTAGATTGTTCTTGTTTGTGTAGGACCTTGACGTGCATCACTAGGTTATTTATGTGGGCTTGCTCTGTTTTTCTGATATTTTTATTTACAGCTATAAACTTTCATCTCATGACTGCTTTCATTGTGTCCCATTAAATCTGGATATCGTAGTAGCATTATTGTTTCATTCTAGAAACGAATTTCTTCTATGAACCTTTAATTATTAAAGAGATTATTATTTAATTCCATATGTTTACATACTTTCCGTGGTTTCTTTTAGCATTGAATTCTAGTTTCACTGCACTATGATCTGATAATACCCATGAAATAATTTTGATTCTTTCGGATTTACTTAAGCATGCTTTATGGACTAGTATGTGGTCTTTGGAGAAAGTCCCATGTGCTCCTGAGGAGGATATGTATTCTATTGTTATGGGCAGAGACACTTTGTAGATACCTGTTAAATCCGTTTGTTTGAAGGTGTGGTTCAATGCTATTTCTTTGTTTTGTTTTGTTTTGTTTTGTTTTGTTTTATCCATTTATTTGTGACAGTAGGATTTTAAGGCCCCCTCTCATAACTGTTTTTTTTTTTTAATGTTCAATAGTGTTTGCTTTTTGTTTTGTGGTGTTCTTTATTTACTCATTTATTTATTTTGAGATAGGGTCTTGCTTTGTATTCAGGCCCGTCTTGAACTGACGGTGTAGCCCATGTTGGCTTTGAACTCTTGGCAATCCTTCTGCCTCAGCCTCCCTCCTGAGTGCTGGCATTTCAGGTGTACACCACGTGCCTGACTCAGTAGTACTTGTTTTATTAAATGGTGTGCACCAGTGCTTGGCGCATATATGTTTATAATTTTTATGTCTTTCTGTTGAATTGTTCCCTTTACCAATATGTAGTGACCTTCTTTGCTTCTCTTGATCAGTTTTGGCTTGAAATCCATTTTGGCTTAAATTATGATAGTAACTCGTGATTTTTTTCCCAGTTTCCCATTGCATGGATTACTGCTTTCCATCCTTTGATTTTTAATCTATGTATTTCTTTTTTGGATTAAATGTTTTTCTAACATACTATATTTTGTTGGGTTTTATTTCTTGATCCATTCTGCCATTCTGTGTCTTTTGATTAAGGAGTTGAGACCATTCACACTGAGGGTTATTACTAAACAATACTGACATATTCTGTTATTTTATTATTTTCCTGTTGTTGATCCCCATTGCAACCTACTTAACTGCTCACCACATAGTGTATTCATTCTACTTTTTGGCTTTATTGGGTTCATTGTCTCTTTTGAGGACAGTGATGGTGAACCTTGTAGAGCAGTGATACAGCCTGCTTTGTCACATGTGCCATAGCTTCCTACCACTGTTCTGGGATATCCTGGAGAATTTTTAAGAGTGCTGGTTTGGTGGTCATGAATTTCTTTAGGAGCTCTGTATCTTGAAAGTATCCCTTTTTTTCTCTGTATTAAAAGATAGTTTTGCAAGATAGGTCAGCCTGGTTTGGAAATGGTTTTCTTTTATGGCTTGAAACACTTGGCTCCAAGCTCTACTGGTCTTTAAGGTTTGTGTTGAGGACTGTTGTACTTCTGATAGTTTTACTTTTATAAGCGGTTCATTTCTTTTCTCTGACAGCTTTCAAGATTCTGTTCCAGGGTTGCACTTCAGGTATTTTGACTATGCTGTGACATCGAGATGTTCTGTATTGATTGTGTCTATTTGGAATTCTGTGTGCCTCACTTATACATATTTAATTCTTCCCTAAATTTGGAAAGTTTTCTGCAGTTATTTCTACAAACAAGTTTTTTTTTATGCCCTTGTGCTGTGTTCTGATTTTTCACATACTTCAGTTAATCTTAGTTTTGTCTTCTTTGAATTATCGAGTAGCCATTGAATCCACTTTCTATGTTCTCGTTTTTAAGGTATTTCTGAGTAACCAGTCTTTGAAAGCATTACTTATCTTCTGATTCTGTCCTCACACTGATGACTTCTGCTGCCCATACTCTATATATAATTTTTGGTCTCCTGGATTTCTGTTTGGAACCTTTTCATGGACTGTGCTTTATCTCTGTTATCCTTTTAAATAATTTGGTTGTATATCTTTTGCTTTCTTCCCCCTCAGTACCCCATGGATTGGCTTTGAGGGAATTGGGAGTTTGGGGATGCATTTTGTTGCCTTCTTTTCTCATGTTTCCATTTGTTTTGTTTTGTCCTTAGGTTTGTGGTTGCTTATAGTGGAAAGATTTTGTTGCTAGTTTGGAGATTTCTTTAGTCTGATTTTCAGTGATGCACTCAGGGTGTGGGTATATATAATCCTTCACCTCTGCCCCATGATCCAATTACCTCTATTAATATGGAAAGGGGAGAGAGATGTAATGTAATTGACTCAGCACTCATTTCTCCGGGAGTGGGCTATAGTATTAATGTCACAAAGGTAATCTGGGTTTTGGCATACAGAGAGAAAACCTGTTACTAGCAACAACTGTGCCACTCTACAAAAGCATCTAAATCAGTAACAGTAATATCATTCAAGACAAACTGGGTATTTACAACCATAAAAACTAATAATATACCATCCTTAACCTTGGAAAGGGAAATCTACAATTGTAGTATAAACCCAAGATTAGTATATTGTAGTATAAATTGTAATATAAACCCAAGACAAGTCAAATACTGACATACAGTGACTATCTACTAAATGCAGTGACTATACCTCCACTAATGATAGGAAAGATTTCAACAGTAGTCACAAAGAGTTAACAGTCAAAAAGTTAACAAAGCTTAATGTTTATATTATTAAACATATCAAGGGTTGAGAATGGGAGAATGTAAAAAGAAAAATTTGGAAAATTAAACAGTGGGAGATGAGAAAGAGGGGAGAAAAGTAAGGCAGAAGATCTGTTATGAGGCAGAAGAGGAATATATAGAGACTTAGATCAAAGTAACAGAAAAAGAGAAGGATAAAACAAAGAAGAGGTACCTGTTCATAATATGGAGAGTAAAAATATAACAAAAGAAGAAAAAGGAAAAAAGGAAATGAGTCTAAAAACAGGAAGAAAGGTTTTTTCCCTTCTTATGAATGAATGGTTTCCTTCTAGTACCCTCAGTTTTGGAGTCCAACAAGTCTCAATTTTCTGTACCTAGCCTTATAGCCTGTGGGTTTGTGAGGTGCAGCCCTATTCCAGAGGCCTTCTGTTTACCCCAGGCTTTGGCAGTGTCCCTGCTAAGACCGGGCCTTGCTCATGTTGGTGGGTTAGGAAAGTAATCAGACCTCAGATCTACTAGATGTAGGTAGCAGGACAAAGGTTTAAGTACTTCATGCAGGCAGACACTTTCAAACCAAACTGTTTCTGAGTACAGCTGAAGCTTAGCCTCCAGGAGTGGGGCCTGTCCTTCCCAGCCTGAGTTTAAATTTCCCAGGGGATAATCTTTCTAGCTCACTGATTATGCTGTCTCCCATGGCTGTCTCTCACCAGCCATTGTGGGAGGGTAGCACTGGGAGCCCTGAAATGAAGTTGTTTTTTAGTTGTTTTTGAGTCTCAGATTTAAAGTATCAACAGCTTCCTGAAGAGGTACCTGTTCAAGCACTCTGGATGTGACAGGTACCCATGCTCGAATCCCTCTATGGTTATTGCCATCTGGGTGAAGGGATCCCCTCAGAGCCCCGTGCTGTTTTAAGAGCACCAAGATTGTGGACTTCGCTGCTGTTTCTCCCTGGATCTCCTAGTCCTGGGTGCTTACCTTGCTTCTGGGAATCCTGGGTCCCCTCCCCGAGCCACGAGAACTGGGCAGAGTCCACACTGTTTCTTTTCTGTGTGTTGTGGACCATCTTTGCAACTTCTCTGTAGCTCCTAATTTTTTCTGTCAGTTTCTTCTGAAGTCGCACTGATGTGCTTCTCTTTTTTTCTTTGACAAGTTGTTATTTTTCACTTACTGGTTTCTGGATCTTGGAGAGGCTGAATTTTGCGACTGATCACTACTCTGCCATTTTCTTCTCCTCAGTGATTTTATGTTACAGAAGCAGAGAGGAATGACAGATAAGAACTGTGTACACCTTCATGTTCAAGAGTGGTATAATCTGAGGAGATGAACTAAGTGATCTGAGAATTGGCCCTGGAGAGTTTATGAGGTGACAGAAAGGAAATTATTAAAAGGAGATATTAAAAATAATCCACGCTGTTGCACTAATGAACGAAAGGAAGCTACTTCCTCAAGTAGAGATTAAGAGGATTACAAAGATTGTGTGAATGTTGGCGAGTAGCCTTTGAAAAGTTGGGTTGTAAGGCTTATAAAAGTAAAGATAAAAAGGGCTATTTTAAAACTCAAAAAACAAAGTCTAGAATTGAAGATTAGAATTACGATTTATTTGATTCTTTGGGACTCTTGCCTTTGGAATAAACATCACTGCAGTCGCATCTTTTTGTATTTGGTATTACAAGCAAAATGGTATTTATAAGCATTCACGTTTTGAGACTCGTTAAAATAACGCTTTGCTGGAAAACCATTTTGTAAAATAATTAATGTATGTAATTATTGTCCAAGATGTAACTCAGATTTCATATTCTATCCCTCAAAGATGTATGATGAATTGTTTTTTAGCTGAAAATCACTTCTTTGTTCCTTAGGTGCAGGCAACCATAGGTACTTTATGGGCTACCTATTCTTCTTGCTTTTTATGATCTGTTGGATGATTTATGGTTGTATTTCTTGTGAGTACAATTAATTTTTTTGCTTTCTTAAAATGTTTGCTTACTAGATTATATTTATCATATTATGTAATGATAAAAGCCTTAACAGAAACACAGCTTGGGGTACTTATGACCCATCAAGGAGAAAGATACAAATGTATCAAATGTGTTGCAAATGTAATACAAGCAGTTACCAGTTAACTGCCTTTTAATATGTGTGCCCTCTGGGAAACACAGTGGTTTAATAGGCTTTCAGAAGCTTCTGGGTAGAACACACCAACATCTCACGTTATATGCCAATAAAATAACTCATTATAGTAGCCTTCGAGGAGTAGATTTTGTGTTAGAAAAAGCCTATGTTACTGAAGTGATCTTGTTATGTGCCCCCACTCCAAAAAAATTCTCACACGTTATCTTTGTTTTTGTTTTTTTTTTTTTGGTCTTTTTTGAGACAGGGTCTCACTATGCAGTTCAGCCTGGCCCTGAGCTCACTTTGTAGCCCAGGCTGGTCTCAAACTCACAATGATCCTCCTGCCTCAGCCTCCCAAGTGCTGGGATTACAGGTGTGCGCCACCACGCCCGGCGCGTTATCTTTGTTTAAAGAAAATGTTCTTTCAGATATTGTGTATATGCAACTCCAAATCTGTTTATTCTGAAAGTACCATAAAAAAATTTTTTTTAAAGATTTGCTGCTGCTTTTGCATTTCTGAGTTTGATAAATAATTTTTTCACCAAAGTATAATGAAGTTATATAAAAATATGGAAACATTTGCGATTTTATGACATCTGTGAAATGCCTGTTAAGATCATGCTAGGTAGTGTTAGCACTAATGCTGCCCGAGGTGCTTTAATGATTATTAAGTAAATGTAAGTTTTCTGTCTTCTGGTTTTAGACTGGGGACTTCATTGTGAGACCACTTACACCAAGGATGGATTTTGGACATATATTACTCAGATTGCTACATGTTCACCTTGGATGTTTTGGATGTTTCTGAACAGTATTTTTCATTTCATGTGGGTTGCTGTATTACTCATGTGTCAGATGTACCAGGTATGTGCATTATTTGTTCTTTAATGTGCTGAGAAATACTAAAAAATCCTCCCCTTGTTTAAATAATGTATACTTAACCACTTGGCTTTTTAAGATTAATTTTTATTTTTATTTACTTCTCCCCTCTACCTCCCTCTTTTCCTATTTTTATATTATTAAGTTCTAACTTTGAGTACTGCTTTCAGCACAATTTTTTGTTATTCCTGATTGAGATATACACAGTTGCGTATGTGTGAGCTTCAGTTGATGATCTCATTACTTTTGTCTTCATTTTAGTGGTACAACATAATTATTATATGCAGAAGTCACTGTTTATTCAAGTCTTGTTTTTGAGCATTAATTACTCAGAGTAATGGGTTGTTTCTTCTTTCTTCTTAGATATCATGTTTAGGTATAACTACAAATGAACGAATGAATGCCAGAAGATATAAGCACTTTAAAGTCACAACAACATCTATTGAAAGCCCATTCAAGTATGCACATATTTATAAATTTAGTATTTTCTTTTATCATACAGATTTCCCCAGCAAACTCAGTCATTGTCTAATAAGCATTTTAGAAAGAAGTTTTCTTTAGGTGTGGCAAGAACATACGAGATAGGGAATGTATCCTTTAGTTGGTAATGTGAAAACTACCTTTTAAATGACACTGAATGTAAGATTTCTGTAGAAGTGGTATGTGTTACTTCAAACACCAAAGAATACAATTCATCATATTAACTAGATATAGGTGTATTTTTAAAATTGCATCTAAACTGATAGGTGAATATAGTAGTATCCCATTTCCATGAAATATTTAAAACTGAATTTTACATAAGCTACTTTATGTCCTCAAACTTTTATAATATTATGGCATACTTCTAGAAAGCAAGCAAATCTTTACATATAACAGAAGGAGAATTCTTCTGTAGATAACAGTGAAGGTGTAAAACTGATTGCCAGAAGTATTAGTGAAGTTCTGAAATTTCCTGAATTTACCGTTTTACATTTCTTTTTTAAATTGTTACTCTTAGGTCCTGTGCCAAATTCATGTTATATATAATTATTTTGTATTTTATTTCATTTTTCAGTTTTAGAGAATTTGTCTCCTTGTCAAAAAAAAAGCTACAGTCAAGGAAGATTTTTATCGAAATTATATATGGTATAGGAATGAAATAAATGTAGATTTGGATAACTTTAAAATATAATTGTTACCTTTAAATTAGCAAAAAGATAAAATCCGTGTTTTATGGAGACACATGAATGGATATTTATTTTGTAAAGATAAATTGGTTCTTTCTTGCCAATAACTTGAGCTTTTTGAGCTTAGAAAAAAAAAATACGTTGAACACCAAAATTATATTTAACTCATATGAAATCGTTTGTACTAACTGAATTTTTTTCTTTTTGGGCGGCTGCTTTTAGCCATGGATGTGTAAGGAATATTATAGACTTCTTTGAATTTCGATGCTGTGGCCTCTTTCGTCCTGTTATCGTGGACTGGACCAGACAGTATACAATAGAATATGACCAAATATCAGGATCTGGGTACCAGCTTGTGTAGCAACATCTTTATCCTTTGAAGCATATTGCTGAGTGGTGCCTGAAAATTGTGTCTGTCCGTGTCTCTCTCACACTCGAAACCACATCATTGAACAATAGCATGCTATGTGTAGGGCTAACAGTGAATTTTACAGTCTTTTTTTTTCAACACTTTAATTAACAAAAGTCAACATGGACAGAACACACTGCCACTTCTGGGAAGATTGAAGATCATAAAAAGGATTTTAATGGTTCTTAATGTGGGAATTCACTACATACTCAACTTTCTGGTTTCGTTCTCTTAACATATTTCATGAAAAAAGAGTGAATTTATTCTGTTGACAGACATTGTATACTGATCAAAAATGTTCTGTTTTAACTGAAACTAAGTTTATGTTATATGGCTACATTTTATGATGCAGTCTATTAAGAGAATTGCATCTGATTCCAGAATTAAATTGATTGATAGCATTTTGTACATTTTAAAATGTACATGCAAATACTGTGATAAAAAAAATCGTGGTTTTGTTAGGGATCTACTGTAATGTATCTCAAAGGCACAAGAAAATAATGTTCACAAAAATGTGCTAACAGTATTTTGCTTATCAGCCTTTACAATGCTGGTATATTTCTAGTTCAGTGAAATAATTTGTAGTAACCTTGCTCTGAGGTTTTATGGTCTAATAATGAAGCACTTGCATGAGTATAGTAAGTTATATTTTGTTCAAATTTAAAAGCCCTACTAAGTGCATGATATACTGCATAGAATGTATATTAGCAGATACTATCCAGTGAAGCATAAATTAAAATTTAATGTGCAAACAGTCCAATTTTTGAGTTGAGGTGGGATTTTTAAAGGCAAAACAAATAAGCTAATGCAAAATTCTTAGTAATAGAGGTAAATGGATATACTTTTAAAATTCTGAGCTGCAAAATAAATGTAGAAAATAACAAGAGTTTAAGCTAAAGATGGAGCATGATCTCTGTACATAGCACATGTGAATAAAAGAAAAGCTAATGGTGTATTCTGGTTTTTTAATGACCTATCCGAAAAGTAGGATTTAATCCCCAAGATTATTTCACTTTTCCCAATTTTGAGTATGTTTTGATGTTTGTTAATGCTGAAACAGTTTCAGAAAGATACTCTGTTAAATGTGATGCACTGATCAATTTTTGTTACAGCATTTCCATACCCTCGTGGTGAACTACTAGTCACTACTTCCATGAATATTGTTTACAGAGTGAGACTTGGTTTAGTCCTCTTCAATGCTGTAGCAAACTGTGGTTCGAGCAACCTGTGGGAAACCTGTGAGAGGGAATGGGGTGGGGGAGGGGAGGAAGGGAAGTCAGACTGATGACAGATCCTAGACCAGTGTAAAGAATGTGTATCTGTATATAAATAATTTATCAAATACTTTTCTCTTTGTGTCTATATATGTGTTAGTGTTTCTAAAGCTGCTCATTTTATTTTACCAACCAAAAAGAAAAGGGAGATAATTAATGAGCTTCTAGTGATGTTCAATATTGCTGTTAATAGGCATTATACACTGCAAGTTCACTGCATGTCCGATGCTTGGTACAATTAGAATGTCCTGTAAACTGCAGGTTACAGGTATTAAAGCAATCTATTGGTATATCCGCCCCTTGCCTTAGTAAGAGGAGCAGTGAAAATGTATATAGTTGATGTTCAGTATTTCCAAGTACTACCATTTTTATATAGTAGTTTCTTTGATCACAAGTCACACATAAAAAAAGATTACCCTTAGTGTACCTGGGTGTTTTAATAATAGAAAATTGGCATATGTACTTTATTTTTGAAAAGGGAAGAGATGGGTGTGGGGTGGCAATAGCATTGTGCCATTTGTCATAGATTGTAAAAAACTGGTGAACTTTACAAATAAATGTCTGCTAGTTTTGACTAACAATTAGGGGAAATTTTAGATAATTTTTAAATTCAAAGTTATTTATACAATGCTAGGACTTACTTTAATGTTTTGTATTTTGAGCCAGTTCACATGAAGACTCAGTTGCAATTTTTGTCTAATACATTCTTATCAACATTTAAAAACTGGTAGTTTTCTCGGTTTGGATAAGAATATTGTTACTGTGTCTTTGTGGTACAATATTCTTTTCAGTGCAAAGAAATATCTCAATTAAATGGACGAAAGCCCTAGATGTATAATTACAGGGAAAATACTTGCGATGAAAGTGGTACAGTACTAATTGTTCCACAGCACCACTGAAATCTGTGACTCAGAAACGGGCAGGTGGTAAGGAGCCACCTGTGCAGCGGCGTACCACCCATTTAACAGCTTTGTAGGCCCTGTGTGTAGAGTCAGTTCAGTCCAGCTCTAAAGATGTGAATAAAGGCAAACTTTTTGGGACTAGTTCCTGTCAACTTAATCAGACACTTCTTAGCAAATAGAAACTTAATTCTCAGCTCTGAACATAATTCATTGATAATTCTTTGGAATTTTTTTCATATTATTTGTAGGAGTTCATTTGAAATATTAATAGGCATAAAACAGTGTCATTACACTTAAGCTATGAATGTTTTTATTTTATATTTTATTTATAACTGTGCCAAGTATTATTTTGCTACTTACTGTGTTACTCTGTGGAAAGAAAAACCTGTAAAGTGTTTAATAAATTAGTTCTCCTTACATAAATTAAATCTGTCAAAATTTTGTAAAATATTAATCACAATAAATATTGACTCTTAAGTGTGTGCTTGTTTATAATTTCATGTAGTCCACTTAAAGTTGTTGTTGAAGCCATGGTTCCTATAATATGAAATGATTGTTTTATATGCTTATATCCTGGTCAGCTAGGAGTCAAGAGGCATAAGATTACAGAAATTTGCAAAAGTAAAAGGTGGTGTTAGTATTACAACAGTCTCCAATTTTTTGTGTATGCCTCCGTGTGTGTGTGTGTGTGTGTATGTATGTATTTTTTCCCACCTGTTTTTTGTTTTGTTGAGACAGGGTCTCACTATATAATTCAGGCTGGTCCTAAACTCATTGTATAGGCCAGGCTGTCCTCAAACTCAGTGATATACCACAGCCTCCCGAATGCTGGGCTTACAGACGTGTGGCATAAATGTTCTGTATGTATTTTTCATAAACTGTTATTCTGTAGACTTGATTAGGATCCTCTGAAACTATATGAATCCTAAGTTTTAAATGTGAGTATGTCTACAGTACTGCAAAATGAAACCTACTAAACATTGATCCCAGTTAGTTGAGAAGGTATGTATGGGAAAGAAACCTTTGAAAGTTTAAAAAATAATTACGAAGGGGCCCTTTCCTATTGTTCATATGGTGGTTTATAGTTCTAGGAGTTCATAGACATAATTAGAAACAAATAGTACATGTTAGAACATGTGTCTTGTTAGAAAGTATATCTTAAGTTTCTTAAAGTACTTTTTACAAGATGTTACTAAATATATTTATGTGACCCTTAAAATCTGTAATTCTAAGTTGAACATTCAGAATTTTTCTTTATCTAGGGGACCTAAGTCACAAACTCAAGGAAGTCAAATGAAGCTTTTACAAAACTTGCTTTTGAGTTGGACATAAATGTTTGGTTCAGAAAAATTTTATTAGAATGTGTCATCAGATGTTTAGTAGGATTGAGCACCCCCCTACTAGCAATTAAATTGTATCACACTGTATCTCCAGTTTTTCATTTTGAGAGAGAGCATTGCTAAGTAATGTCCAGGCTGGGTTCAAATTTGGAATCCTGTCTCAGCCTCCCAAAGTGCTGGGATTACAAGCATGTGCCACCATACTCAGCTGATACATTTTTAATAGACAGCAATGTTTTAATAATCAGAAGTGCACTTGCATTTACATCAGAAAGGTTCTTTGTTGCTGTTTTTTTTGATTCGGTAGGGTTTAGTTTTCACCAAATCTAGAAAATTTCCAGTCATTCCTTGAAGTATTTTTTCTCTTTTAAGAAACTTCAGTTACACATACATTGGGTCACTTGATGACATCTTAATTTACCAGGCTTTGGTTTTTAATTTATCTTGGGGTAGTTTTTTCCAGTTTCCCCATTCATTAATGTTTCTTCCTCCAATGTGTCTAGTCTTAATACGTCAATCTTTTCAGTGTTACATTGTAGGTGTCACCTGTTGTGCTTAGTGTCGACCTTTTTGTGTGTCTTCAATATCTCTACTTTTTGAAAATACAGTAGTTACGATTTTTAATATCCCTACCTAATTTTCACAGCTGTGCCAATTCTGGATAGATTCCTCCCCCGTACAGGGGATTGAACCCAGGGATTGCTGAGCTGCAGCCCCAGCCTTTATTTATTTATTGACAGGATCCCATTAAGCTGTCCAGGCTCGCTTAACTTGCTATCCTGCTGCTTGAGCCTCGTGGATACTTGGAGTACAGGGATGTACCTGTTATGCTTAGCTACCTGGTAGTTTTTGAGGTTTCCAAATCCTATGAATTGGTGGGTATTTTTATACTCCTATAAAAATGTTTGAGCTTTATTCTGGGATTGGAAGTTATCTGGAAATTTCAACCTTTTTAGGTCTTGCCTTTTAAGATGTGGTAGGCAAGACCAGAGTGGTGCTCACTTTATGACAAGAGGTGTCTGTACCGTGTACCCTCAAGCCAGAGCTCTGGTACTCAGGTTTCCCGGTCCTGCTGGTGTGAACAAGAACCTTGCTGTAAATAATTTCTTCCCCACCGGAGCCGGGCAGTTATGTAACACGCATGTTTGGTCAGAACTCTGCTGAAGACATGAGGTTAGAGTGTGTGCTACATAATCCCAGAGTTCTTTGCACAGCTCTCAAGTTCTTTGAAGCCACCGTGCCTCCCCCCCAGTTCTCTCTCAACTCAGGGTGGGTTCCACTCTTTATTCCTTGCACTACAACGCCAAATCTCAAAGCAGTAGGCTTTGTTAATCTGCAAGACTGATTCTATGTTTTTTCCCCGTAACTATCCTTTGTTGCCTAATGTCGTGTCCTGAAATGTTTTTCATTAATTTGCCTTTGTTCCTGGTGAAAGTGTAAATCTGTTTATTGTTATTTCACCATAGCTGTAAGAGGAAGTCTAAATTAGACTACTTAATTTCTAGTGTGGAAAATATTAATACAACTATTGAACAGTATCTCTTTCGATTTAAGAATAAAAAGGGGTCATGAGATAAAACAGTTTGAAAGGGGGCTGGGGATTTAGCTCAGCGGCAAAAGCGCCTGCCTGGCAAGCACAAGGTCGTGAGTTCAGTTCCCGGTACCGGAGAAAACCCACCCCCCCCCCCCCCAAAAAAAAAAGTTTGAAAGCCATAAACTGATCTTCCATAGGCGAGTTTTTCGACGGACAGCTAAATCGGTGTTAGCATCTCAAGGCCTTTGATATGCTAGTGTGTACTGTTAATCCACAGGAACATATGTAAACGCAGCTCTGTAGTGGGAATGACAAGGAATGTGTGGATGTTTTAAAACCACATAATCACTCAATAGCTCAGTTCAGTCTTTGATTGCCAATTAACTGTTTCCCAGTCTGCTCAATTAAAAGGCCCTCGATTTACCCAATGAAATTGATAAGCCTTATAAATTGGAAGTTGTTCCAGGTATGATACAAATAAGCACGGATTGCTTCTCAGTACACTCTCAGTCCACTTTCTTCCCTCAAGTTACACATACCCCTTTAGCCTTCAGAATAGGTAGTGTCTAGGAATGGATTTTGGAGCAAATTAAGACATGTTCACAATCAGGCTGGTTTAATTCCCATCAATATACATTACAGACCACTTTCACCCTTGCCGGGAGTAGAAGGGGGACTAAGTCTAATAACTGCCATCTTTGGGGGTGGGGTGTGTAATGAAAATACTCCCTTTTTAGTGTAATGCCCTTTTCTGCCTGAGGCAGCTGAGTGTACCCAGACAACACTGCATTCTTTGCAATTTACAGAGTTGAAATATGTGAAAAAAGCACCTCAGCTTCCAGGATTTAGTTGAGTCAACATTATCCAAAGAGTGGGGAGTTTCTAAAAAGGGTCATGCTAAGCCTCAGATTCTGGCTGTCTGCAGTGATCTGTAAGTGTAGATAAATCTAAGGAATATTTTCTAACAGTGTGCCCACTCTGAGTCAGTTTGGCTTTTTTGAGGAATGTATTGAAAGGGCTTCTATGGCCCCAGCTTGCCTCTAGAGATTGTGCTTCAGGGGCTGAAGTGGAGGTTGCAATTCTGTTAGTAATCCCAGTTGTCTAATGCATATTTTAGGAAACTATTCCAACAGAGAAGAGTTAGCCAGCAGGCTGTAATGGGGCAGAAGGACAGGGATGATGTACAGCTGAATGCCAGCTCTGAAGAGCTGAAAGGTGATGCCTGGCTCCTGGCGTACTTGCCAGCGTAAAAGGCGTATCCCTGTCAGCACCTGTAAGGTGAACGGGTAGCCCACAGTGTTAACTGGGCAGAAGGGTTGATTGTCTTTAAGAGTGCAATGAGGGTAAGGAGCCCAATGATGTCACACTAACAAATAGCAGTTACTCCAAAAGGTTAATTAAAAGACACTAAAATAGCAAGCCAAGATTTTATTTAAAATGTAAAAGAAATGGTTCTTGTAAATGCTAGTAAATAAAGAAAAAGGATGTAATGCTGTCTTCTACAAGTTAGCCAGCCTATCCAAGTACAGGGTAATATACAGTACTTAATGCTCGTAGAATTTCACAGTAGTTTAGTGTTACAAGACTATCTGTGTCTAGATTATGAAGAGATTCTCAGTGTGATGCTTAGTTTTGAGTTGCACCTTTACTGAGCATGGACAAGAGCTCCTGCTCCCTGGCCATAGCCAAATCCCTTGGGCCCAAAGTTCTTTGCATAACATCCTACAAAAGAAAAAGAAGAGGTAGTACAAGTCAATTAAGTTTCGTTAGCATTAAGGCAAACTCCATAAATTAAAATTGGCGATGCCAAAGCATTAAAAAAAAAAAAGTGCCTCATGATGAACATCCTCCACTGAAGGCAAGTACAACCATTCTGGTTCCTGCTGAGTTATAAGCGTGAACGTCAGGCCGGCTTAGTTATATACTCGGTAATACCCACGTATATTCATATGCTTTACTTCTAGCATGAAGTTGAAAGACTACCTGTGTGTGGTGTTTTTTCTTTGTTTGTGGGATGTTTTAAATGACCAGAAAAAGACTGATTTTGTGACCGTTCAGCATCTCTGGTTCTTGTATGTTTAGATAGCTGGTGACACTGTGTCTGCTTTGCTGTTTTCTGAGTACAGTGTTTTTTTGTTTTACACAGATGGCACTTCACTGAGTAGTGGCCAGTGTGAGACAGTCATGGATAGCAGTAACGAATTCATGTTACCTTTACAATAGATTTCACCTTCTTTCTCAGTCAGAGTTGTTGACTCAAGACTCTTCCCACACTTGGCACATCGGAAACAGTTTTTGTGCCAGGGCTGGAAGAGAAATGTGTGTTAGCACATTTTGAGAGGACTCTTTCCTTAGAAGTGGCAGAGGTGCTTCAGGATGATCAACCCCACAGCAAGCTCTGGACTGCTGTGGTTCAGCTCAGTAAGAAGGCTGCAACTTGCCCTCCTCCCCATCTACAAACTTACCCATAGAAGGACTGACTTTAAACTTCACTCACAGGAGACCTGGGCTGGGAGCTGAAACATAGAAGGGCTATTTCCCTAAGAGCAGTATCAGGCCTTGGCTAAAAACCAGTCTGCCCCCTTAGAACTGGGCTGCTCAAG